GGAAAGAGAGTCTCTCTGTTTCAACAGGTGGGGATTTCTCCACTTCTTTATAAACAATCTACAAAGAAACAAGTGAGAGTTCCACAGAAGGGCCTCAGAGGATTCCAGCGTGGGCTCTTACCAGATCATCCACATCCCACTAGTTCATTTTCAAGTGTCTCATATCTCAGCATTCCCTAGTTCATCAACAAAGGAAAGGGCTTCAGCAGGCAAATCCTGAACCCAGCATTCTCAGTGAATATTTGCTATTTGGAGCCATGATCAGAAAAACACTCCTGTGACAAATAAACCTTGAAGCTCATGAAGAATGAGTCTGCCAGACTACATCTTGTTCCTTATTCCCAAGAGCTAAATGTGGCAGCACAATGAACCACCTTCATCACAATGCTAAGAGAGATTTCATTTTTGTGACCAAGATCTTTAAATGGCTACTATAACAAATAGATGCAAACAAAGTGAAACATTTCAGAATGAAACAGCAAAAACATGTGGGTGTGCCTACAACATACTATTCCCAAACACAAGCACCAGGATGAAATGGACCAACTGCAATTCCTGTCTGTGTAGCAGAGACTAACAGAGCTATTTCCATTTGTTTTCCACTACATATTTTACACCATCAAGCTTTGTAGGATTCCTCTATTTTTCTCACATCCCCAGATTTTTATGCAATTTCCCCAGATATATTTGCACATTAGGAGGGGGAAAAGCAAGGTCCCTAGAACAAGATGTACCTACTAGCACCTGTCAGATTCAAGCAGCAACATCAGAGCACTGCTAATGATTCCATGGACTGGGATCCAGACTTACAGCCTTGGTGTTATCAACAGTTGCTGGATGCTCAAACTCCGTGATCTTCTTCCAAGTGACGTGGTTCAAGATCCGCACCTAATTCCAGGAGGCATTGCAAAAACGAGCTGTCATCACAAAGTTCTACACATGGTTTAGTTAAGAGAGCAAATAAATCTGTTTCTTACCTTTTCATCATAGCTGCCAATTGCCAAAAACTGACTGCTGGGACTCCAGGCAATGGACTTGATGCCCAGTGACCATTCGTAAGCCCGATAGGTGGAGAGCAGCCTGCCATCCAGGGAGTACAGCAAGATTTTGTACTGCAACAGACAAAGGTTATTTCTCAAGACCAACAATATTGTTACAATTCATGGACAGGCAATACCATCCCTTCCATACTCTCTCTGCCTAAAACACAGCACGTTAAATAGTCTTACAGAAGAATTAATTCATTATTCACTTTTTGTTTCAGTAGTGACATCTGCAATGTTTACAATCTCATCTTTTTGCAGGATATATTAGGAAGAAAGCTAATGAGATAATGTGCTGCCATTAAAGATTTACATGGCAGTTTGACACACACTTGTAAGGACATCCATGACCTATACAAGTAGAGTATTTAAAATGGTTTCAATTCAGGTTTTGTTACATTTCAAAGAAAAAACAGATCAGGAACACTAGTTATTTTAGTTACTGCTTTATACATGGCAGCTACAGACCAACTTGAACTCTCCAAAAAAATAATCTGCTTGTTCCTCACCTCCAGACACGTGTCCCATGCTGCCAGCACACAGCCATTAGGAGCCCATTCAATCCCAAACAGATCTTGTGTTTCAGTGTCAAAATGCTGGCCCCAAAAGAGAAATAAAGTATCAGAAACACTACAACAAACATTGTTACATCTGACCTCACTGGGTTCTCAGTTTCATCCTTCCCAGCACTACCACAAATGCAAAAGAGCCCTTGTATGCTAGCACAGGAACAGAAAGTTTCTTTAGGAATAGTATGTGTCTCATTGGCTGCTGCTTTGATTTGCCTCTACAGAAAAGTTACAAGTTTCTATCCCTTAAAATGACCAGCATTTCATGAGCAAATACACGCAGTTACACTGAACCAGTCAAGAAATCCAGCTGGCCTCAATCCTGGCCTCAGAAAGGCTGGTGCAGGACCATTAGGGAAGAGCTTGGGAAGACTTGCAAGTCTAAACCCAGACTGTCAAAGTGAGGGAGTTGAAAGCAGTGAGCAGCATGTCTGTGGCTGTGCAGGGCAGGCAGGGACACCTCTTACCCTGAGCAGCTGCCAGTCACTGCAGACGAAGATGCTGATGAAGTCCTTGCAGTCGCGTCTCTCGGCCACCGCCACGTAGCGCCCGTCCTTGGTGAAGGCTATTCCTGCCAGGCAGGGACCATGGGAAACAGAACAAGACAGAACAGCTGGCAGTGCTTCAATGAATAGCAGCGACTCCCAGTTCGAAGGAGAAGCAAAAAGAGAAGGAAAAATCCTCAGAGGAGGTGACACTGTCAGTGCACAGTCTTACAGATCTGCCCGTGGTGGCACGAGCTGCTCCCAAGGATGCAGCTTCACAGCCACTGCAGAGCTCCAGAGAAACACCTCATTACTGACAGCTGTTATATAGAACCCATGGATTTCAAATAAACATTTAGTCTAGCTAAATGGATTAGTTGTGCAACCACCAGTACTCCACCACCTTCCAGGCACTGGTCCCCACCCACTCCCACGTGTCACACAACTGCCTTTGTCACACAAGGGCCACGACCATAAACAAGCCTCAGGCAGGAACTGCTGGACAGTCCTGATGTGGGCTTCCCTTTCAAACCTCTTTGTGTGTAAAAGATGACAAAAGCCACTTTGGATCAGTGCTTCCCATCACCCTTGCCCCCAGCTCAATTTAACACCTCCAAGAACCCTCCAGATCAGCTGTAACCTCCAGTCAGGGAGCACAGAACCCCCAGCACACCCGGGTGCACGAGGTGCTGAGCCTCCCGAGGGAGCTGTGCCCCCAGCAGGGAGAGGACAGAGCCTGTTCTGTCACGTGCCTCACCATTCAACATCAAACTCATTTTCCCCTTCCTGCCATATGGAAAAACACCATTCCCATGTCAGATTGGAGACACGTACCCTGTTGACAAGCTTTGGGATACTTGATGTAAGAGACAGATTTGGTGCACAGGGACCAGACCGTTATCCGCAGCTGCCAGGGAGAGAGAGACAAGGAAAGGGTTTATTTTTGTAATTAATAAAAGCAAATATACCCATAAACATAACTCATGAGCACAAAGTAGATCAATACACCTTCTGTGGTAAATTCAAACTTTGCATATATTCTGTGTGGCTCAAACACAAAGCCCATAGAGGAATTCTTTCCCAGCTGCCTTCAGGTTCAAGGTTATTGATCCCAGGTTCCCACCTCAGGCAGACTGGGTGCTGCAGGGGGGTGCAGGAGATGCAGAAGATGCAGAGCACCATTATGGAGAAAAGCTTTTCAGGAACATTGAAGTCACTGATATTGGCATGAATCCAGCTACAAGAGTGCCAGTGTGTTGGACACACTGTTCAGTTGGGAAACCACAGGATCTGGGACAAGAGGAGTTTCTTGGATCTATGAATGGGTGAGCAGCTTAAGAACTTTGTATCTCTTGGGACAAGGCTACTATCAAAACTTACCTGTATTTCTCAACTTTTAGACACACTCAGCTTGTGACTGAGTTTTGCTGTCCCTTCCTCAGCCCCCCACAGGGAGGCAACATTACAGAATTACTGCAAGAATCAGAAAAGAGCCCCAGTGCACAGTGAGGCCCTGAACACCTCGTGTGGGGTATTTCTGGAGGCTGGAGCACCCCTGAGACACACACTGCAGAGAAGCCAGTCAGCTGCAAAACCAGCCCCTCCACAGCCCCCCAAGGTCACAGCCTGCATTCTGGAAGCTCCATGTTGCCATCTGCAGATTATTCAATTAAAAACAAATACTTCCTCTCCCTTAGCAACGGCAGCCACACCAGACATGTGCATTAATCAGCCTGTCATGTGAACCTTTGCATTTATATCTGGAGACAGGAATGTTTCCAGTGTCTTTTTTTTTACCTTGTGTTTTCCTACATTTTATTGCACCAAGGTAAGAGATTCTAGAAGAGATGCAGGTAAAGCTATTTTTGCAATAAAGCATCATGGTTGTAAAGCACCCTTTCCCAGAACTACTCAGAATCAGTTCTGGTTCGTTATCTAAGTAATTATCTTTATCCCTATCCACCATCTCATGCTCCTCCTCCATCAGCATCACCAGCAGCCTTGGGACGAATTTCTGCTTGGTTGTGTGTTTGTCCTCAGTGCACATTTTCCCTCTCTGAGGGAATGGGTATTATTCCATGGTGACAAAGGACACCAAGGTGACATCCCACATACCTGCTCTACCTGGCAGTGTTACAGACTGAGCTTCACAACTGAACTTGGAGGGTTTTTTCATTGCTGATATTGTTGTTTTTGCTAAAGAGCATGACTTGAGTAATGGCTGTACCTGCTCTACCTGGCAGTGTTAAAGACTGAGCATCACAACTGAACTTGGAAGGTTTTTTCATTGCTGATATTGTTGGTTTTGCTAAAGAGCATGACTTGAGTAATGGCTGTTCAAAGCAACTGGTGCTCATACAAGTCACAGAATCCTAACAAGTGCTGCCTCTCTCCAGAGATACACAGAGTCCCAAAGAAAATGAACAACATTAGCTCTTCTCCTTCCTGCTTTTCAGGTACAGAAGACACTGGCAAGATTTGAAGAGACAAAATAAATAATTTTAAAAATGACAGGAAAGAGCACAACTACCTCCAATTCCAGCCCACTTCCACCTGAAGATTAAAAAGTTATTAGACCCCTATTTAACGCAATGTTTGTTATTCCCTTCTTTTATTGTACAGGTATGAAATAGCAACTAGACCACTACAGCACCAGCTTTAAGTTTAGCAGGTCCTAGAGGAGTCCAGTAGATAAATGACATTAATCAAGTTTCATCACTGCAACTGCTCCCTGCAGACACACAAGCACAGCACTGTTAGTCTGCTCCTCATGCAAGATTTACTTTACAAATACCCACACAATGCCTGCTCACATTCTTCTACAGCAACTGCAACACTGATATGCTGCTTGCCCCTCAATATTCACAGTGCTACTTGTGCTGGCTGCTGCTCCTCCCTTGCCCAGAGCACGACGCCTACACGGCACACATTCTACAGCCACTTAGGACAAGCTTAACAGCTGCCAGTCTTGGATGCTGGGGTTTGGATCATCAGATTTCCTGACACAAGCATCCCAGTTTGCATTTGTGCTGCTGCTGAGCTTCACCATCACCTCACCTGCTCTGCTGTGTGTCCAACACTTCTGTGCTGGCTCAGGGCAAAGCCTGCCTGCTCACAGCCAGCTGAAGGACATCAGAAGAGGTGAGAGCCACCACATCACCTCTGCCTGTCACCTCTCCTCAGCTGAGACCCTGCTGCAGAAAAGGCAGGTACACCTTCCTTTTGAAAGGGCTTTCTGCATCCATCTGCCTCCTGCGGTCCTCTTCTGCTCAGGCAGAACCTCCTCTAGGAGGCACAAGCTTTGCAACACCCCAAAGACGACACTGTTAATGGTTTCCCTGTTCATCCTTGCCAAAATACAGCCAACACACCTGTGGGATGTTTGCACCCAGCCCACAAAAATACACTTGCAAACAGTAAAACCCATTATTATACTGGATGTCTACAACACTTTGATAGCCAAAGCCCTTCTTCAGACTTGATCTAAATCAGTCACAATGCACTTAAAGCAACTAACAAGATCCTCTGTCCAACTCCAGTATCTTCCTCTCCTGAAGAGGCTGCAGGTCAGGGAAGCTCTCAGAGAAAGTCAGAGCCCACGCTCTGCTGGGTCTTCATTGCAGCCTCTTGCCCAAGTCACACACCACAAAACCTGAAGGTTTTGACCTAGTGTTACAAACGTGTAAAAACAAACAATGGTGACTGCTGAAACTGGGACTCCTTTCAGTTGTTCTGTTTGTGCCCACTCAATCGTTTTTATAACCTGAGAAAGTTACATCATGTGCCCCATGTTTGGGCTTCACACCTACCTTACATGGACTAACAAAATATTTATCATTCAAATGTAACAAAAAGGGAGAATCTTCCTATTTTCCACAGGAACTGAAATATTATTCCACAATCTTGCCCAAGCTGCCAGCAAACCAGCTTGAGAAAGATTATTTCACAACCAGCCTAAATGATTGAGAGACAGAAACACAAAATGCACAGAGGATAAAAAAATAAAGCCAAAGAATACAATAGATTGCATTGGTCTTATTTGCTTTTCTCAGAAACTTAAAGGGATAATTGCATTTACAGCAGGACAATAGATTGTGGTCAATTAAGCTGATCATTGAGGGGAACTCTTTAGCAGAGATGACGATTCAGTGGAGCCATCAAACTCAAATGCTAATGATAACAGTGTCTGACAAGTTTTCAGCTGTTGTTTTGCAGTGGAAAAACAAACCAAAAGCAGCAGCATTTTTTAAATAGCCTAAAAACAGCTGAGAAATAAAAGGTATTTAGATGGTAACGTGATAAACAGTCTCCAGTGCTACGTCCCAATGTTGACAGCTCCAGGCAGGTGTCAGACTGGTGATTTTCAGAGGATAAAAACACACTTTTAAACAACCTTGCATCTCAAATGACTGTCAACTTTTGTCCCAGACTTGACTGGGTCACAAGGCCTCCTTACATAGCAGTGTCTGTCAGCACCGGATTTCAGAAGATTATTCAGAGCACATTCCTGGACAGGAAGCATTTTTCAACCAATGCAGCCATTTCCAGTTACTAGGGATTAGCTCCAATATACAGAGAAACACACACTTCTTCCTCTGCTGCCTCAGCTCGGAGGAAGCTCCTCAGTGCTTCAGTGCCCAACATGTCCAGAACTGAAGTGCAATATATGGAGTTGGTAAGTAAAATACAAAATGAGTAACAAACCACAGCTATGGGGCAAGTAACCAGGTACTGCACTGTCATTAAGCTCAGTAAAGTAATAATCCATTACTGGGAAAACAATCCATGCTCAAGTGAAAGCACAGAGGCTCTATATACATCCTCCTCAAAGACTGTGCCATGTAATTGCTCCTGCTGTTTGTTGCAGTAACTGTAGAGAGATTCAGAGGTAACTGTGCCACTCAGTGCTACTGTATATTGTGTAACTACTCTGGGGCCCAGAAACCTGCACGTATTTACAAACTCATCTTCAACAAAATTATGTAGAACATCACTGCCCACCTCAAAAGACTGAATAGAGTTGAAGTGGATTTTTGAAACGTCAGAATTCTGCTACACTCATCTTGAGTTAGGGACACACCAGTCACACCAAAAAACCCACAAGTTATTCACTCCAATGCTGACCTCAAAAAGAACCTGACTGCAAGTCAGTGATGAGTGATCTTTGAGGCACTAGTAAGCATGGATTGCTAGAAATAAATCAGTACAACCACAGACAGCCTTTAAAAAATTATAGCAAGAAGTTATTTGTGAGCTTATGGTGGAGCCCACATGTTGACTTGAGGATTTACAAGTATGAGTAATTAACTGGTGCTGTGTGAAATTATCAAGGCACCAAAGCCAAGCTGCACTGGGTGGCAGGGAACCCCTGAGCACTCCAAGCAATCTCTGCATCTGATAACCTACAGATACACCAGTATTAACTCCCCTGATAGCTTCTGTCTCCAGCACTACTCCCACCTGCCCCACCAGACCATGGATTTATCAGAGAGAGTAAACACAACTCAGACACAAGCATAACCCAAGCAGCTGTCTGACAAAAGCTAATTTAGCAACCTGTTTACAGCTGGAAAGGAAACTTATCCCAACACAGATGCCAGCTTGGCAAAGGCTTAATGAAATCCTCTAAGGTCAAACCAAGTTCTGTCGGGAGGCAATAAATACTTGCTCATCCACCCCCACACACGTGCCAGGAGATCCTCTCTCCCCTGCAGCACACAGCTCCAGCCCCCAGCCTGGTCACAGCCACCTCACTGCTGGGCACAGCAGCAAACTAGGCAGTCTTTTTTAGTATTATTATTTTAATAACTATCAGGGTGATTCATTATTGGGAAAACTGTAGGCCTGAATTCATAACCCACTATCCACAGGGGGAGGGAAATGGGAAGAGACTGCTTGACAGCCAGAAAGTCTTCACCCCAGTCAGCACAGCAAATCCTCACCAGCAATGAACGTCTTTGCTGCAGGATTCCACCCTATGTGCACCAGGAACTACTCCCTGGCTCTGTGCACCAGGAACTACTCCCTGGCTCTGTGCAAGGTTCTCCACAGGTGCCCTTGAGAGCACCAGCACTGGCACCAACTCCAGTCCCCACACACAACAGACAACAGAGACCCCCATTTATGCTCCCTTGGGATTTGCGTGAAAGAAGGACAAATCCTGCAGTGTAACATGTGAATTGAGTACCAGCAAGGGTTATGGCACAGTCACCTGTCAGCTAAAATCCATCTGCTTTCTTTTTATAAAATTAAACACAAAGAGGAGATGTCTTGTGTGTGGTTCTTAGATGTTTTCTGTTCACTATTGTACTGATAACATGAATTGTCAGCTCTAATCTAAAGACCATAAAGGGGGAGTCAGGCTTCCCCATGCCTTCCAACCAGCAACCACAGGCTGGTTTGGATTCCAGAACATGGATCTTAAACCCATACACCTTTACAGGTGTTGTAATTGTGCAAGTGGTCAGCAGTCTGACTCCTACATGTAAAATCAAACAATTGCAAAGCATTCCCAGGACCTGGATTCAAATTTCACCTCATAGGTCAATAAACCTATGATCACGTTTTTTTAATTCCATAGCCACACTTAAATGTTTGTGGTAGAAATCCTGAGTTACAAACCAGACATTTGATTTCTAAAATTGCTGCAATGAATGCCAGTTTTCCCTCTGCTTGTCTCCAACACAATATTACCACCTTCAAAGCTAAGCATCCACTTTCTATCTTATCATCAAGAGGATAAAATGTTAACAGAGCAACTAACATCTAAATGGCAATTAACCCAGATTGTGTATATGAATTTAGGAGAACTACACCTGCCCTCTTCACCACCACGACAGCTTTAAGAGCTTTAGGTTATTTTAAGAGGCAAAGGGCAGACAGCAACATCTGACACCACTCAGAGCACTCACCACTTCACACTTACATGGAACTCGGTGGTATTGAGGATGTGACGACCATCTGGGCTCCAGCATGAAGCCACCAGTCCTGCAGACCCCTCGTCTATCTTGCAGTGCCAGTCTGGCTGCTCCAGGGACCAGACCTGGGACAGAGAGGAGACCAAACCAGGCAACAGCCAAACCAGAAGCTCATTGAAGCCTTGAAACTTCAGCTCACAAGAACACGCTACGGCTGAGGAGAAACTCCTGCATCCCACCCCAGAGAGGTCAGGACACCCCTGAAAGCCCAGGACTCCCCAGGAGCCCAGGACTCCCCAAGAGCCCAGGACACCCCTGAGGAGGGCCCGTGGCCATGAAGGACTGGCGCTGGATCCCACTACAAAAGTAAGCCCCACAGCTCTGTGTGCCCATGCACACTGTAACCTGGTTGCTCTTTTCTGTGACAAACCTCCAGCACTTTAAAAAGAAAAGTTTTAGTCCATTTAATGAGTTTGCATGTGTTTAAGGTAATCTTCAGCTCTGAGTTGTTTTGATAAATACTTTCGTTTTAAGTTTACCCTTTTCAAACTAAGATGTTTGTCATGGTTTTAAACATAACAGCATGCTGGGTTATCCCCAAACCAGGTGTTACCAGTAACTGACCAGTTAGTTCAGTGAGAGCACTGAAGCCGGGCTTGGTGCTGGGAAGCTCTGGCTCACACCACACACCCACCCCCCCCCCCCCCGGGAAAAACATTCTGTGCTGCCTGGCCCCTCCCCTGACCAATCCCCCG